AGCACAGGTGATGGGGGAAGAAATGTGGCGGGGTGAATGTGGCGGGGGCCCCATGCAGGGGGCAGCAGCAGGAGCCTGGGCAGAGGCAAGCAGGGGACCTCACTCAGTATGTCGATGTGCCGGTTGGGGATGCTGTTGATGCAGCTGACGATGGATTGCTCATCGCACACGTCCAACTGCTTGATCTCCAGGGTCTTGTTGAGGGTGACTCCGGCGGCCGCTTCCAGGCACCCGCTCTTGCCCAGGTTCCTCATGGTGGCAATGACTGTAACACAGAGCAGCCTGGCTGCAGGTACTGGGGCTTGCTGAAGCTGGACAGGGCTCGGTGATGCTGCAGGGCTGGGAGCGAGGAGAGCAGGTGTAGAGGGGGCCGCGATACACAACGAGCTTCTCCTGCTATTCCCACTGCAGCAGGGGTTGGTCCTGGAGAGCAGCCCGCGAAGGCAAATCCCAGGGCCATGCACCCCAGAGGCTGCAGGGCTCTCAATGGGGCTTAGAATGGGGGTTCAGAGGAGGTGTGGGGTGTCAGTGTGGGGCCTCCTGTGCCATCAGGGCCATGCTGCTCCTAGTAAGTGTTCTGGCACCATGGGCCCAGATGGAGGGAGGGGGCTCCAGACTTGGCTTGTGTCTCGTTGCCCCAAGCATGTTCTTGCCCAAGGCTGCTGCAGGCCAGACAGCCATTCCCTCCCGCAAAGGCCTTTGGGTCAGCATCGACATGGGGAGATGTACCAGCTACTCGGGGTTAGCCTCCCCTCCCATGTCCTAAAGGAATACGGCAGTCATGCTAACTCAGTTCCAGGCCACTGGGTCAGATTCTCCCCCTTCCCTCGCTGGGATCCTGGCCACTGGATCACAGGTTCCCCCATGACCCCTCGCTGGGATCCTAACTACTGGATCACATTTAAGGGGCCCAAACCATCCTGGGAGGGGAGCAGGTAGGAGGAAGGCAGCTACTCCCACTCCCTTGTGTTGTCCCATTTGAGTTCCAAGCTGGGGCCCCTGCCCCAGAACAGAGGGGCAGGGGAAGGACCCATCGCCCTCTCCATTTCTTTCCCTTTGGAGCAAATTATTTATTTTACCATCTCATGTGTAAAGACTTCTCCTGTGCCCCACCACTCATGCAAAATGTTCCTAGTTCCCCACCCCTTCCCGGCTGTGTCCAATAGGCCGGGTACCAAATGCACCCACAGCCTGGCTGCATGCTGGCATGGAAAGACCCCAGGACAGGCGAGGGAGCAGGTCAGCGCTTCTTTCCCCATCCTGCTGCAGTACCCAAGGCTTGGCGGCATGGGGAAAGGAGATGGACTCTGCTGTTCTGGGAGTGGGGGTGGGAATACGCAGCCCCGCCCAGCTGCAGGGGAGTTGTGGGTCTCCCATGATCCCAGCCGTACCAGCTCCACCCGGGGGCAACCTGGGCATTCGCGCCTGTGTGCCCGACACCCTGGGCACATGTGGGAAGCGCTCACCTTTGAACCGCTTCTGTTTGTCCTGGGCCATTTTCACAGCCAAGGCCAAGCCGATGCCGGAGGAGCAGCCCGTTATCAGCACCGTCTTGGGAGCCATGCCGTTCCCAGGAAAAGCGGGGCACCAAGGAGGTCTGGTCTGGATGAGACGGGCAAGCGCAGCAGGGGTCCCTGAAAATCCTCCTGACGCAGGAGCACTCAGAGTGTTGCTCTCAGGCTGGAAGTTCCCAAGGAGTCTTGGCAGCTCCCAGCTCTGTCTTCACATCCCGCTCCGACCTTCCTTCCAGCCCTAATAAAGGATGGCCTGGCTCCTAACTGGCCAGCGCCCAAGACCTTAATCTTCTAGGCCTTGTTAATCTCAGGATGGATTTGCACGATGATTCCTGGCTAATCTCGTCTGGCTACCACCACATGTGATGCACAAAAAGCGCCACGGGAACTACGGCAGCAGGCAAACCCTCTTACCGAGCATGCCTTGCATTGGGGCCCTTGTCCAAGCGAGCACTGTGCAGGAAGGTCACGGGCTGGGTCAGAGGCAGGGCAGGTAGTTAGCACAGTGGCAGCACTGTGTGAGGTGGGAGCAGGGTGCTTTGGCGGGACGGGCGGGTGGATTTCTGCTCTGCCGGCTAAAACGCCTGGAAGGTTCTTGGCTGAGCCTTGCCAAGCTGGTGCAAAGAGTCTTTTTCAGGCCATTGCAAACCCCCTTGGTTTTGCATTGCCACGAACCAGCCTGAAACGCTGCAGGGGGCTGATTCCTGATTTGGAACCCTGGGCTTCTCAGGGCTGCAGATTGGGCTGCAGACCAGGGCTGTGTTGGCCCCATGGGAACAGCTGCCCTTCTGCTGGCAGGGAGTCATTTAGTGAGCATGTCAACGCATGGGCACAGTGAGGGCTGAACATACCTGAGCCCCTCTCAGATACTAATGGATTTAGCCTCGCAACCCCTGCTCTGCGAGGTAGGAAAAGCATCGTCCCCATGGGACAGACTGGGGAACAGGGGCCCGGAGAGATGAGGTGATTTGCCCAGGGTCACAAGGAGTCTGGGAATTTAACCCAGGTCTCAAGTTCCAGCCCTACCTGGGGGTGACTTTGCCCAAGGTCATCCCAAGAGCCAAGCATAGAACCCAGGAGTCCTGGCTCCTGATCAAACCTCCAGGCCCCTTTCCCTCGATCCGACTTCAGCATAACCCTTCCCCGGCTGGGGCCTATGTGGAATTTCCCACGGAGTTTGACGCTGCATGCGGATCAGAAGTCAGAGCCAATGCGGGAAGGTGGCTGGATCCCAAACTCCCCCGACCCATCTCCCCACCATACCGCCATAAGGAAAGGAGAGCAGCCAGGTATGAAATAGACGAGATTTATTTGTAGTGAAAAGATTTTGGAGTAGATATAAATAGAGATAAATCTGTCTTCTTACAGGGCTTGGTGCTAATTTGGGTTATTTTTCTCTTTTTTGTACAAAATAAAAGCAAGGATATGAAAAAATAACATTTATTACCACTTGTATAAAACACATCACAGTTCGACTGGCCTCTCAGGTATGTACAATAGAGACAGATCCGTCCTCTTAGCAAAACCCAGGATCCTTCTAACATGGCGACACCACACCCCTGGCTGGGTTAGCCGCAGCAGGAGGTGAACCTGGGGATCTTACTGCCTGTCGCTACTGCGTCAGCTGAAATCCCCACCTCTGTTAGCCTTGCCGACAGCAGGCTTTGTATGTGGCCCAGCCGCCACTGAAGAGGACAGAGCTCTGCACCAAGTGGGTCATATCTGTCTCCCCCTTCGGGTTCTTTGATGCTATGGGGGTTAGAAGCACCCCAGGCAGTCCTGGCTTTGGGGGTCTCTGGTGTGTTGAGTTCAGTGCGTGCAGCACAGTGGAGCGCACAGAGATGGGTTTGGAAGGACAGTCGGCGTCTAGGCAGTTGGAGATGGAAACATACTCCTCCCCCCTTCGCCCCGCCGGACTTTCCAGACCTGGGCACGGCCCCATCACCGGGTCCTGGCAGCCTACATTCCAGAGAGCGGAAGCCTCTTTGGGCTGACAGGAAGGGACAGGGAAAAGCCCAGCTCTTTCCTTACTGTGGCTGTTCCACTTGTCTGCTCTCGCCCTTGACACCTGCCACCAAACCCCCTTTTCTCCCCCCTGCCATGTCCAGAGCAGGGCTTGGGGCCAGCCCCCCAACCCCCAGCATCTGAACAAGGCCCAGCTCGAAGCGTGACCCTGGACTCCCTGCACCTCCAGGTTTTCCTCACCTCTGGTCAGCCTGAATGGACCCAGCTGCACCTTGATTCCCATGGCCCTGGGCAAATGGCAGAGGAATCTCTGTATGAGTCACCCTGGCTCCTGGCCAGCCCCAAACCTAGCTGACGCTAGCTTCTGCCTTGTTCCCAAGGAGGGACTTCCTCCCGGAGGATTGGGAGCAAGGCCAACCCTGTCGGTGGAACGTTATCTACTATCAATATTGAGAGCCCCGGGCCTCTCCATGCGGCCCGATAACCCATCGCTAATCCCAGCCAGTACAGAAACAGCTGGGCGCTGTTTCTTGCTGTGGCCAGGCCCGTTGGCTTCACCCGCCAGCTCAGAAAGGGAGACATGGCCACTCCCACACAGGGGGCAAGTGCATGGGATCTGCACTACCTATCAGGGTCCGCTGCCACTGACATACAGTTCTCCGTGGCTGGGGAACGGTGGCTGCCCTCAGGCAGGTTGCTGCTATGGGGAGCAGAAAGGTGAGCCTCAGCCCGCGCACAGAAGGGTCTGGACTCCAACCCCCAGGGAGGCCAGTGCTCTAGGTTAGAAGGAGCCACTCTGGCACTGATCTGACGGAAAGAAGTGGAAACCTGAAGAGAAAGGCAACGTAACCACCCCCTTGCCTCGGCTCCCAGCGGTCACTGGCCAGAGAGGTCGGAACCTAGGGGAGAAAGTGCACGAGTGGGTAGATATTCCCAAAGGACGAGGAGCTCCGAACCCAGCCAAGAGGCTGCAGGGGCCCAGGGAGGAGGGCGCAGACACAGCATCCAGGGCTCTGTGCAGGAGGAGTGCTGGGACATACCAAACGGGACCATCCCCAAGCTCCCGGCTTGGCTTCCCAAGGGCACACAGAATACGACCATTAACACTGAGTAGCTGGTGGGGAGGGAGGAGAGACTCTAGGATCAAACAGATAGAGCATATTGGGGCAGAGCTGGGGGCGCAGGGATACAGGTGGGAAGGGGAATACAGGCATGGAGAGTTACAGGACAGAGGGATATGAGGCAGAAAGAGATGGGAGTGGAAGGATACAGGAAGGGACAGAGAGAGATGACCGTGGAAGGATATGGGGCAGAGAGAGACGGGAGCGGGGGCACAGGGGGAGGGGCAGCAGTGAGCCAAGGCCGCGGGCTGGTGGAAGCACAGGGGTGAGGTCTCCCTTTGAAACGATAAATTTCGGTCCTTCGGGCTCCTTGGGCGCTGGGGGTGCCATTCCGGCCTCTCACCTGGCCGGTGCTCACTTGACGGGGCTGAGTGGTGACTGACACCCCAGCAGAGGGCGGAGCACGAGCCAAGTCTGGCCCCTGCGGCCGCCACTGCCCGGCCGAAGTGGGGCGAGGGGCGGAAGTTTTGTGCTGATCCTAGTCCCGCTTGCTGCGCGTTGGCTGTGGCCCCTCGCAGAGCCCTGCTGCCCACCGGGAGGTCTGTCACAAGGCGACGCGGGTGCAGTAATGTCTGAGCTTGCAGGGCAGGATGCCCCGGTTGATTTGGTGAAACTCCACCAGCTGGATGAGATCGGCAAAGCGCGTCTGGCCGTCATCCATGGTGAAGTAAAGCTGCCCCTCTTCCTCGCTCTGCAGAGAAATGGGGTGGGAGGGTGTGTGCTCAGCTCTCCTGGCCCATGCTTGGCCAGGGCAGGCCGGGAACAGCCAGCTCCCCTACAGACTTATTAAGCTATTGTTTCAGTGACCTCTCCTGCCAGGAGGCGACACTGGAGGGAGTGGGAGCGTTCCCAAGGTTAGTGTTGTCTGATAGTTCTCTTCAGGGACTCACACAGGGAGAGGCTGGGAGCTCCCCCCACAGCCAGTGCTCCTGCCCCATTTCCCTGCTGGGAGCTCTTTTTACACCATTCCTATATGTGACTCTCCTCCCCATGGGTTTGCTCCTTGAGCGAGTTCGTAAAGCACCCTCACCCATATTGCTGGGAAGGCAAAGTCTGTGGCAGTTGGGGCTGGGGAGGGGCACTTACTGGCAGGATGAGATAGTGCTTGACTTTCTGTAGGTGGCACAAGGACAGGACGTAGCCCTTGGGGTTCCGCTGGCTTTCCCGCACCAAAAACACCCTAAAAAATCAAAGCAAGAGAGGGGGCTGTTACCAATATGCTGTCGCTGCCCACCCAACTTCTGCTATCCACCAGGGGGAGCCCAGAGCAGCATCTGAGCTGCTCAGTCATCTCAGCTGAAATCAACACAGCCTCACGTGGAATGCTGTTGAAAGCAGCCGAACCCATGCCACGACCAAGGGGTGCTGTAACCCTTTGCAGTGAGAGCTGGCAATGAACTTGTCCCAGACAGTGGCCTGTGCTGGATAACTCTGAGGCATAAAATCTTGCCTAATTGCACAGCCCTGTACCAAGGAGGGACATTCCCTCCTGACCCCAGAACTGATGGGTGCCCTGAAGCATGAAGATTGAAAGCTTTTCTTACTTTATCCTCTCTAGCGTCACTGCTGGTGCTCATCTTATCCACAAAAGCAGTACTGACAACCTCAATTATTCAAAAAGCAAGTCAGGCCCCAAAAAGTATGAGATTTATCTTAAAAATAACGATTTTTTTAAAAATTGGGGGTTTCTTATTTGCCTTCTTGGTTTTGAGCCTGTAGCAGGGGTCACATTTTCTCTGCAACCACAAGGGCTAGAAACTCACTTTAAAAAAAATGCTCAGATTCTCATGTCATCACAAGTCTCCAGAAGCTGGCGCTTTAAGGAAACTTTAAGGAAAATATTGTGAGACTGGGGATTAAATTGCTGTCCAAGTGTCTTTGGAACCTTGCTAAGCATTTGGCCTCACTGACATTCTGCAGCAGGGAGTCCCTTGAGTTAATGCCTACTTCGAGTTAACAGAAGCCATGTAATCAGTGTTCAAAGCCTTTCCGTACCCATCAACTAATCCCTGCTGGATTATCAATCGCTGTGTGTCTTCCCTTGAGATCCGCCCATGAAACCATGGCTGTGTTCGATGGATGGCTGAGAAAAGAAAATGGAGGAAGAAAAGCTTTTTTGATCTGACTCTCTTACAAACCCTTTCACAGAGAAAATTTGTATACTGTGGTGGGTTTGCAAAACTGAAGGGGTATTGGAGAGAGCAAGAAAGAGAAAAAAAGGCAAACTCTTTGGGGCAGGGACTATCTCTTTGTTCTGCCTCTGTACAGTGCCTAGCACCATGTGGTCCTGGTCTGTGACTGGACCTCCTAAGTGCTATGTTAACACAAATAATAAATTAAAGTAGCACTGACCCCAAATGAGATCAGGGCCCCATTGTGCTGGGTGCTGCATAGACAGAGAGTGAGAGACAGCCCTTGCCCCAAAGGGCTCCCAGGCTAAATAGACAAGACAGACAAAGGGTAGGAGGGGAAACTGAGGTACGGAGAAATCAAATGACTTGTCCAAGGTCATTCAGGGAGTCTGTGGCAGAGCCAGGAATTGAACATGAGTCTCCATTGAGCATCTTAGCTACAAGACCATTCTTTGGCTGGCAGCAGTAGTAGGCCCTTATCCACCATGTAGATCAGATACTGGGGAAAGTTTCAATTCAGTCCCCAAAATTCCCTTATAACCAAAGTTAGAAGAATATCCAGGGTGGCATTTTAGGTTCTATAAAATCTTTTTGTTTTTTTTAATCTCAAAATTCACTTTTGGAACAAGTTCCCCTCCACTTCGTGTCTCCGTCTGCACCAGTGCAAGGTGTGTGTAAGACACAACCACCCTGATCTGCTAGTGTTTCACACCCACTTGGCACTGACATGAGCTTCAGAGCAATTGGGCTCATTGTATCCCTACAGCGTCTGGTTCTGGCTCCCCTTTGATCAAGCCCAGAATCCTTTTGGGAAGGACGTCTCCCTGGGTGACCCTCAGCCAACCGAAGGGGGTAGAGGGGTCTTCACTCACCTGTGCTGAGCGGGGAGCCCTGGCAAGGAATCGGCAGGCTGTAGCGGTGACTTGTCTTCTTCTGCGGCACGGAAAGCAAGGAGCAGGGCATTACTATGGGGTGTTGTTATTAGGCCTTAGCACAATGCTACTTTCATGGAAAATCAAACCAGAAACGAGCGCCACGGTGAATGCTGGGAATGACCTGGGAGCAAGGATAGGACAGACCCAGAGAGGGCGAGAGCGCAGGCTGCAATCTGAGGGCTACCGTAGCCTCATTGCAATCTGGTGCAAGGGCACTGTGTCTCCACACCCTCACCAGAGCATCCCACTGGACGCTGATGGAGCTGGGCTGAGACGATCTCACCTTTCCCAGACCGGAGGAAGAGCTCTGTGGAGCTTGGAAGCTTGTCTCTTTCGCCAACAGAAGTTGGTCCAATAAGATATCAGCTCACCCACCTTGTCTTTCTCCTATCCTGGGATCAGCACGTCTACAACAACACGGCATCCACCAGCCCATATCACAGTTTAATTGTTTAAGCTAACCCGGTGCAGCTCTCTGTGCAGATAAGCCACCAGCTGGAAGCTGTTTGGACAGCTTGATGAAGATGCACGGACCCAACACCGCCTCCAGCCTCAGCCCGCTTCCCTGCCCGGCCTCTGACTTCTAGCTCCGCCTGGAAGCATGAACTCACCCTCCACGACTGAGCCTCTTCCAGGGCCACCGTCAGCGCCTCGTTGGGGTTCTCAATCACACGGCCTGTGCACCCCGAGAAATCCATGGCCACCAAGGTGTTGTCAGACATGCTCCTCTGTGGGATGAAATAACAGCTGAGGCGAGAACAGCCACGGGGGTGGGGAAGGGGGACCCTGTCCTGGAAGACGGGAGCCGTGGGACAGAGATCTACAGTTCTACAGTTCAGGGCCCTGTAAGCAGCTTTGAGAGGGGTCCCATTATGTCAGCACTGAGTCCTATCAGCAAGGGACCTGGGGGCCTGTAAGTGTTGAGCTGTAGCAGTTCAGGGCATAAACAGGGCTCTTCATTGGGCACCTCTCCGCAGCACAAAATGGACTCAAAAATCAAAGCTCCATTACGGGCATCATAAAATCCCACCGCGGCCCATGGATCCCTGGGTATTTTAAAGGAAACATTTCGTGGCCAGCTACATCATTAGGTACCACCCAGCCTCTGCTTCAACTAACTGCCCCATCATCTGCATAGGTCATGTGGGGAACGTCACTTTGAACTGACGCTCTCCAGTGACTGGGTCCGATAGGTGCCCTCCGGAGAGGTTGCCCTCACGGAGATGCTGTTTGGTGAGCCGTGCAGACAGAACCTGATACGTAACCCCCAAAAGGGTTGCATCTGGTCAGATCCAGACATCAGTCTCCTTGTCCTCCCTTCGGCACGCAGTGCTGACAGGCTACTCCTCTAGAGGGTGCTGTCTGAGGCCATCTCGCCTTTAGTTCTGTTTGAACAACAGCACCATGCCTTGCTGGGCAGCTCCTGCGCCCTGGGAGGGGTGGGGGAGCCCGGGGAAGGGCTAGTTGAAAATTTCCCATTGAAGCTGTTTTTCTGATTGGAAATTGGGATTTTGATGAAACACATTTTTCACAAAATGTGAAATTTCTGAAAAACAAACACCCCCAAGCCCAAAAAGTTTGATTTGGAAAGGCTGCTACGGTGCCTCATGGGAGCTGTAGTTCAGTTGGCCCATGTTGCCATTCTTCTCTATGGGCCAGGCTCCCCAGCTGGACTACATCTCCCAGGATGCACTCTGGCCAGGGCCTCCCAGGATGCACTGCCAAGGAAAAATCCCCATTTTTCAACCAGCTCTCTAGGCTGAAGGCATTCACCACACCCCTAGTTGCAGGGGGAAGAAACATCATCTTCTGCTGTGCTAACAGGAGATCCGGCGGTGTCGACACAGGAAAACATCAGCCTGGAACAACAAGGGCAGTGAACAGCTGCCGCCTGTCCAGATCCTTTCCCACCTGGGCTCTACCTGTTCTGTGAGCACGTCAGTGAGGACGGCTGTAGGGAGAATGTGGGAATGGGGCCACCACCGTGCACTGCAATTTGGAATCCGCTGAGCCGGCCAGGGGAAAGCGGGGAACGCTGCAAAGGGAGCTCCTCAGGGTGGCTCAGGCGAGGCGCTTACCAGGGGCGTGGTGCTGATCCAGGACTGGTGGCTGCGTCTGGACTGGGACTGCTGGTAGTTCCTGTAGAGCTGCACGCCATACTGGGAAGGAAACAGCCCTTGTTAGCATCAGCAGCACCAGAGCCAAGCCCAGCGGCAGGGCACTGCCTCACCCCGGGCGAACGGCATGAGCTGCAAGGCAAGCAGCACCCCCACCGGCCAATTAGCCCCCCATCGCAACGCGGGGGGGGAGAGGGGGGTGCTAAGTAGCAGCACTAACCTCACCAGCCCAAGGGTGCTGAGCTCCCACAGGAAACAGAACCGAAGTGCAGTCCCCGCTTCCGCCAGCAGGTGTCGCTGTCCGCTCTAGCATGCCAGTGGGCTGGCAGCAAGGTGCAGGGGCCGGCTGGAGGCTCTTACCTTAAAGAGGCGGAAGGCGGCCATCCAGCAGGTGCGGCTCTGCTCGTCCTCGCTGCAGAACAGCTTGAGGCCCTTCATGCCGCTGCGCACCTTGTAGGGCTGCAGAACAGAGCGACAACGGTAACCGCAGGGGGCTGTGTTCAGCGCCGGCCGGGAGGCCACGGCACCGAGCTCCCTGAGCGCGAACCGAGCCCCCCAAGCTGAGAGCCCTGTTTTAGCGGGAGGGGAGAGCGAGGCACGGACTAGCCCCAAGAAGTCTCTGGGAGAGCAGGGAAAAGAACCCAGGAGTCCTGAGTCCCAGTCCCGCGCCCCCAACCACTAGACCCCAAGCTTCTCTGATTGCTGGGAACAAAGCCCGATATCCCAGGCCCCTCTGCTCTACACTCCAATCTGACATCTGGCAAGCCAACCCAGGAGTCCTGGCGCCCAGCCCTCCTTTGCGCTAACCACACGGCCTTAATGGTTGCTGCTGGTGTGTCTCCAGTCCCTTCCACCTCAAGAGGCGCCTGGAAGGACTTTGCGCACCTGGGCCCCTGGTGTAACCATCCTAACTTCTGCTGGGTTTACAGCAGGGATGGATTTGGCCCTGTTTGTGCAGGGATTGCTTCACTTACCGCTGCGGCCTCTAGGGTGCCAGGTGGCAGCCATACCCCCTCAAAACACCTGGCCTCCCTCACCTTGATACAGAAGCTGAACTCGGTGGGTGTGCTGTAGAGTTTTCCCCCTTGGGCGATGAAGTAGACATTGGACTCATTGAGGTCAGCGAAATACTGTAGGTGCCGTGGGTCCTGGGGGAGGAGAGGAAGGAAGAGCATGTGCTGTTTTAGGGGAGGCAGTCCTGGGGCAGGGGGACCAGGACACTTCCCGTCCAGCACCCTGAAGGGCCGGAGAGACCAGACTCCAGATACCGCCGTGACCCAAGCATGGGGCACAGGGGACTCAAACCCAGGAGCCACCGTGGCCTTAGAGCACGAACACCAGGAAGGGAAACCGACTGGCCAGAGGTAGGGAAACTGATCGGTCTCTAAGCTCTTTGGGTCTCCCCATGCATTTGTACATCACCTAGCAAAACGGGGCCCCCCCGGCAGACCAGGGCTGTTGCGTGCTACTGGAATACCCATAATAAACACTGATAATAACTGGCTCGAGGGAAGGAAGGGCAGATTTAAATGGCATCAAAGGTCAAGGAAGGGTTTTAAAAATCACTTCTGCTTTAATAGCCTCAGTGCGTGTTCATTCTGGATGCTGTTATTTATGTACCGTCAGTCTGCTGGGCAGGTTATCAGCAGGGGAACTTAACCAGGAACCTTTGGATGGAATTAGAGGGGCCTGCGGTACCTGAACTAAAAGCTCCTGCTCCCTTAGCAAGGGCTGCAGCAGGCTCATCAATATGCGAGTGTGGCCCAGCCACCACTAGAGGGGGAGAGAGCCCTACACAGCGTGCACATGGGTGACATATGTGTAGCATCGATAGGGTACTCAGCGATTCATACTGGGATAAGAGCCTACTGCTGCTACCAGCTAAGGGAGCTATGCCTTTAGTCCAAGAGATGTACATCCCGTGCTTTAAGCTAACTATCCAGGGTTCAAGCCTCATTTGTGACTCATAGAGGGCACAGTTCGGATCGCTCCACCCAAAGTAACTAAGAACTAGCCACTTCTATAGGAAACCCACGGCCATAAGATGTCTTCAGCCCCACCCCTCCTGCGGTGCCCCCTCCAGACCTGTTGCTCAGCCTCACCTTAGATGTGCCCTTTGTGGAGTAGTAAAGCCCTGAGCGCCGGAGGGAGAAGTAAAACCTCTTCCAGACCTTGCGCCCCACCTCCTTCAGGTGCAGGAAGCCTTGGATCTCTGGGCAGCTGCCAGAATTGAGGAAGTTCTGCAGGACAGGAGGGGTCGGGGAGAACATGGGAAGGAAGAGTTGGGAATTGTTGGGAATTGCAAACAGAATGTTGGGAATCATCAAGACAGGGATAGATAATAAGACGGAAAATATCGTATTGCCTCTATATAAATCCATGGTACGCCCACATCTTGAATACTGCGTGCAGATGTGGTCGCCCCATCTCAAAAAAGATCTCTTGGAATTGGAAAACATTCAGAAAAGGGCAACAAAAATTATTAGGGGTATGGAACAGCTCCCGTATGAGGAGAGATTAATAAGACTGGGACTTTTCAGCTTGGAAAAGAGGTGACTAAGGGGGGATACGATAGAGGTCTATAAAATCATGAGTGGTATAGAGAAAGGAAATAAGGAAGTGTTATTTACTCCTTCTCATAATACAAGAACAAGGGGCCACCAAATGAAATTAATAGGTAGCAGGTTTAAAACAAACACAAGAAAGTATATTTTCACGCTACACACTGCCAACCTCTGGAACTCCTTGCCAGAGGGTGTTGTGAAGGCCAATACTATAATGGGGTTCAAAAGGGAGCTAGATAGATTCATGGAGGATAGGTCCATCAATGGCTATTCGCCAGGATGGGCAGGGATGGTGTCCCTAGCCTCTGTTTGCCAGAAGTTGGGATTGGGTGACAGGGCATGGATCACTGGATGATTACCTGTTCTATTCATTCCTTTTGGCGCACCTGACTTTGGCCACTGTTGGAAGACAGGATACTGGGCTTGATGGACCCAGTCTGGCTGTTCTTATGTTAAGAGCTGACCCTGAACTGGCCCCATAGCTTGAGGCTATCAGGCATCCAGCTCAAGCATTAAGCTCTCTGACTAACAGGCTGCATGGAGGGTTTATCCCAGGTGCATTCGCTTTCTCCCCACCCCACCACAAACTTGTGCTATGCCTGTTTATAGGGCGAAGCTACTTGTGGGCGGTGCCTATGGACAATTCCCAGGGTCACTTTCCTGCTTCAAACCATGTGGGCTAGAGTCAGAACTGGCCACCGGCGATGAGTGCCAGGAGGGCAGTCTGGCAGTGCATACCTGGATGAGCTCCGAGTGGGTCATGCCCTTGTTGGCATCCAAGCAGCTGGACACCATCACCTCAGGGAACAGGGACTGCTGGGATCAGAGAGAGAGAAGATTGTTAGCGGGGACTCTGGGGCAAGCACAAATGCAGCAGACGGGCGCTGCACCATAGCAGCCCCCAGCATCTGGCTGGGGGGCAGACTGGCTCCCCTGGGATCAGGATCAGTGGGCTTGTGACCTCCTGGTGCACTGGGCAGCTGTCCAATTAATGCAGGGCGGTGCTGGAATTAATTTCCTGGCAGTAAAGGGTAGATGCTTAGTCCAGCTGTTTTAGCATATTCAAAGCTCATTCCCAGCTGGGCAGCTCCGGGACCCTGGGGGTTCAGGAGAAGGGAAGGCAACCAGATCTTCCAGCAGCTTCGGGGATTCTTCCCCTGAGCACCACCAGGTCCCCTCTGGTCAGGTCAATGTGTGTCTGGGATTGGCTTCTATCCAGGCAGGGCTGTTCTGTGCCCAGGATGCTGCCTGGATCTCGCCCACTGGAGTCCAAGACATGAAAGGCCAGTGGGTGGCCCTCCGGGTCACGACGGGCTGGGTCGCCCAGCAGCAAGGTCGGCAGGCACTTACCGGTGAGCTTTTAAACAGCTCGTACTTGGCAAAGTTCTTCCGGAAGACGAATCTGCTGTCTCCCCCAATGGGCCAGGTGGCCTGGACCTCCACCACTGACTCATGGTCTTCCAGGCACCGCTCTGTGGAGGAGAAAGCCACAGGGTCAAGGAAGAGCCCTGCCAACCATCATGCACCACAGCACACTGGCTTAGCTTGAGTCAGCCTGCCTCCTTCTAGTTGCCAGCCACAGCGACTACAGCAGCTTGCCACCGCCCCAGCTAAGCAAGTTGCTCTCTTATGCTCTGTGGGGATTCATAGTCCCTCGCCTGATCTCACCCAAGCCTGCAGTTGCATGCACAGACCTGGCGGCGTGAGCTCCCGCAAGGTCGTGTTTGCATTTGGGCATTAGTGGACACACGTGCACAGAACCAGCTGGGCACGTCTCCCCGCAAGCTCCTAGTTGCATACGTGCACTGGTGGCCATGTGCAGAAAGCTGGCCGTGCAAGGTTCCCCGGGGCTGTACATGCCTCCTCACCTAGGGCCAAGTGCTGATGGAGCTCCACCAGGGACCAGCTGTCGTCATGGAGGGCATGAGTCTTTTGCACCAGCATCTCGCAGACGTGGTGGGCCGTGGCGCCTGCCATGACCTCCAGCGAGCGGCAGGTGCCATCTTCGCTGAAGACCTTTACCACCTGTGGGGCGGAGGCCAGGCCAGGTTAACTTCCCTCTCCCACAGCCCTACCCCCTCACGCTGGACACTCCCTGGGTTCCCTCCCCTCCTCATGTCTCAGTTCTGAATGCACCAGTGGCTGGGTCAATGTCCCTGCAGTGGAGGTCAGGTGGGGCGTGGAGAGCCTGACAGCCAGCCCCAAGGGCAAACCCAAACTGGGCTGAGGTTTATCACCCTCCCAAGGGGAGGCAGTGATGTGTGCAGGGTAGCAGGGTGATAGCAAACAAGCCCTGTCTCCGCACCTGCTCCCCTCCTGGCCAGAGCAATTGTCCCCCCAAGACGCCCTCGGTCGGTTTCGGGGCGTTTGCATCCTGCTCAGCACTGTGGGATCACACAGGAACTGCCAGCCAGAATCAGCCCCAGAATCCATCTAGCCCAAGGTCCTGACAGGGCCCAGCACCAGATGATTTTGAGGAAGGTGTAAGAACCCTCCAGTAGCAGTGGGGAAAGCTGCCACCCCCCATGGTGGGTCTCATCTTGATCTCTAATAGCTAAGAGATCGGAGTAAGACCTAAGCAGGAGATTTACTGTCTCAGCGTCGGTTTCAGGGTGGAATGCACTGCTCCAGGCCAAGCTGGCTGAGCGGCTGTAACTGCTCCCTGCAGAGGATAAGAACCTTCTACTGCAGCCAACTAACTGAGGTGCTTCTTTAGTTCAAGTGCTAACGGGCTGTGCTTTTGCAGCAAAAGGTCCCAGGATTGGTCCCTGCCGGGTGTGGGTCCTCCCCCCACTCCAAGCCAGCGCTCCCCAAAACCAGCTCTCTCTGTCTCCCTCCCGTGAGGCCGGGTCATGGAGCAGTTCTCAGGCACTGACTCTTTGGCACAGGGAGGATTGACCCCCTGCGAGCCCAAATCCCTCTTGCTGTTCACTGGCGTCAACTCATCTATGAAGCCCCCAGCAACTCCCCCCTCTGGCTGTGATCGCCCCCTGGCTCTCAGGCTGCCTCAGTAAGCGAGCGGGTAGCTTCGGCGTCCCTCTGCTCTGGGAAAGTGGTTCCAGGGCTGTGGGTTGCCCAGCGACCGGGTAGCCTTAGCCTCCTTTTGTGCCACAGAGGGAGATCTCTGGCTCTATGCAGCTGGGGCTGGGCAGCAGGCCGGCTGGGCAGCAGGCCAGCTGGCCCGCCCCTCGGCTCCAGAACCAAATTCAGAAGCAGCAGAACGAGACAGGGGCGAGTCCAGGGATCAGGCTTCTGGCTGTGGGGAGAGGTCAGATTGGGGAGGAGATGGTAGAAGTGCAAGAAAGCCTGACTCCGACTGGCCCAGCCCAGCTTCTACTGGCCCCGCCCCAGAGGGGAATCCGTGATGTGTCTCATCTGAAACAGCTGCTGCCCATAGCCCAGGAGGGTCCTGGCTTAAGTTGGGGGGGAAGTGGATAGCTACGTCACCACTGCCCCTTGGCATGGGCTGAACACCCCTTGCTCCATGTTGCACCCCACAATCCTTCTGGTGTTACATGCTCCCCGTTGCGGGGGCCTGATGGGCAGCTGGGGAAATGGCCAGGCAGAGACCTTCTGCATCCCCCAGCATGTCGCTTGGCGACACCAGGGCAGTGGATGCGGCTCAGGCTCCGCCCTGTAGTGATATCCCCAGGGCATGACTATGCTGACCCCTTCCCTCCCCCAAAGGAATGGGCACTGCTGGCTAATGAGAAACAGGCTGGGTCTGCTCCCAAGAATACAGAGGGTGTGAGGTTCCCTGCTGGGCCTCTGGAGGGGAAAGATTGCTGGGGGTTTGGAGCTTGGGGCGGGATACGGATGGGGAAGGAAAGGCCAACAAGTGGCATTCCCTAGGGGTCCAAGGCTGCACCCTTGCACTGTGGGGAGAGGAACCCCATGACCAGCTGCTTAGCACTAGCTGGAAGTAGGCCTGTCAATAGACAAGTGTCAGCTGCCAGCAGAGTTTGGGGGTGGGCTGGCTGGTCCTGTTCCCGTCACAGTCAAAGGCAGGAATCCCAAGGTGCAGGATTGGGCCCCAAATCTCTCCAGCAACAAAGAGAAAATAAACAGTGCAAAGATACTGGAGCAGAGTGGGCTAGGGGCTAGAGCATGCATCAGGACTCCTGGGTCCTATTCCCAAATCTAGGAGGGACTATCGTCTGGTGATGCAAGCCGGGGTTCAGGACTCTGGGGGTCCATTCACATCTCTAAAAGGGAGCATTGTCTAGGGGCTAGAGCAGGTATTAGGGGTTCAGGACTCCGGGGGTCTATTCACATCTCTAAGAGGGAGCATTATCTAGGGGCTAGAGCAGGTATTAGTGGTACAGGACTCCTGGGTTCTATTCCTGGCTCAGTGGTCCATGCTCATTACAGTACTTGGTTGCAAATTGAGGTGTGTAGTGAGTCAGCTAGGGGTCGGGGAGGGGGGGAGCTTTTGCGAACATAACCAGCTCATTGAGTTTCTAACCTTACAGCCCTTTCACAGGGCTGTCTCCCAGGAGGGTGGCGGGGTCCCCCAGCACTGAACCCAAACAGCCTCTCTGGAGGGAGCTGGAGCATCGCTCCTAGCAAGGAAATGGAGGCAAAGTGAGGTGGCCAAGGTCATGCAAGCAAGCCTGGGAGAGAGCCAGCAGTTGAACCTGGATGTCCAGCCTCCCATTCCCATCCCTGTTAGACCATCCACTGCCAGGGGATCCTGGCAGGAAGCAGCATCATGGCTGGACCCTGCCCACAAGGAATTTACAACGACATCGAAGTGCAGCAGCGCCTTGGGCTAGGCTGAGACCCGAATCCTCCCTGCTAGTCCCCGGTTAACCCACCAGAGGGGGATAAGCACCTGCTGAATTGGCACAGCGCGCGGGGACGTCAATGCCCTTTGCAGAGCCGGCCCACTGTGCCTGTTCTCTGTGCCCCAGCTGTGATGAGGCCCCATGGTGCCAGGCACTGCACAGATACACAGCGAGAGGCGCCCCTTGCCCAGCCTGTGGGAGAGACAGGCGCTCCCCAAAGGGCTTGTGACACTGTAAACTCTTCGGGGCAGGGACCGTCTCTTTGTTCTGCGTCTGTACTGCGCCTAGCACCATTGGACCTTGGTCTGTGACTGGGGCCCCTCGGCACCACTGCAATAGAACTAAGGAAGGGTGGGAGGGGAAACTGAGGCACAGGTCACAAAGCAGCTAAGGGAACAGCACGCAGGCTACTTAACTCCCAGGCAGGCCCTAGCGGGGAGGAGCAGGGGGCAGCCCAGGCCATGGGGTGGCTTGGGAGGCTGCCAGCCACTGTCTTGAAGCCACAGGCTCCCCCCTTCCACGTGCCATGAAGTTCATGACCTTTGCAGGGAGGGTTCAGATTTCCTTCAGTGCCTTCCTTCAGGTTCTACCAGCTAGGGGTGGGTGCGGGGAGGCTCTTTCTGTGGTTGGCTGCTCTCTACCAGCCACCTGAGCTGCTCTTTGCAGACACCAGCCATGCCCTGAGCGTCTGCGCACGGAGGGGGCAGACGGTCGGTCGTTAGGGCTGCAATAAAGCAGTTCCTGGGCTGGCCCCACGTGGCACCCGCTGCTTGGCTCCTTTTATCTCTATCCAGCGGCCATTGCCTGGCAGGAAACCAGTCCAGGTGCTGATCCCTGCTGCCTCTGGGACATGTTTTGGCTATGTGTGCCATGGACCCCTTGCTCTGAGCCCCCAGACGGCCCCTGCTTGGCCTGCCATGGGCATTATCCACCCGGCACCACTGGACCTCTGTAGCCCGGAGAGAAGCAAGGTGTCGAAAACCCATGAACATCCCATGCCCACCTCCCTGCTCTTCCCTTCGGTGATGGCTCATCCGCTTCCCTCCGGGAAGTGCTGAATTTCCTCAGCCAGCAGCCAGGCCAAATCAAAGCCAAAGGCGTTGGCTTCTTGGGCTCTGTCTACTCCGATGCTGCTGACCCCAGGGAACAGGGGTCCCGCTTGCTTGTCCCCTCTGCCGGAGAGGCCTTGGGAACCATCTGCCCCCCGAGCTCACAGCCTGGGGGCAGCCTGTCCTTGGCATAGGGTCGCAATGGTAACAGTGATGTGGGCTTCCTGGGAATGGCCCTGACAGGTCTCCCAGGGTCATTGGAGCTGTGGGGGGGCGCATGAAATATGGGGGGTGTGCTGCCAAAAGGGGATTGATTTACAGTCAGGCCAGCACGGCCCCTGTGTGGTAGGCCCTCAGCTTGGGGGGAGGGCGCTGCCCGGCTGGGGCTGTACTGAGGCCTCTGAGCTGCTGATGGTGGGAGGAGTCTGTCACGAGCGTGTTAGGCCTCATGCTGCTGCCACAGCCAGCTTTCCGTCCCACAGGCTGAGGAGCCCCTGGCTCGTGGCCCCCACAGTCTGTCGGGATGGCTGCGCTGGCCTCTCAGCAGCACCTCCCAGTGTGTGGGGGAGGGACACCAGCTCCCACCCTCGGCCCGCTCAGCTAACCCAGCCCTGGGGGCGAAGGGCTGCACCCGAGGCCCAAACCCCAACCCCATCACCGTCCCAGGGGAGATTCGGGTCTTGCGGCAGCCCTGGGTTGATTTAAGGCTCGTTGACGTTCCATGGGAGGGGGCTGAGCTGTCCCCTACCCAAGGGCTCCCCAGAACCACCCTGACACCTGCTACCTGCAGTCCGGGCAGGTGAGACGCCCCTAGAGGAGGGATCCTAAAGTGCAATGGAAATGTACGATGGAGCACGCAGACAACACCCCTGGGGGCAATGGGAAGGGCCGGGGCCGGCACCAGGGTAATCCTGTGGGAAAGTGACCAGTCCATGGCTATGTGATCCCCTCCCCCTGGCTGTCTGCTCCTCACCCCACCCTGGCCCCACCGCTGCTCCTCCTGACTGATCAAGTCCCCCAGGGATTAGAGCACCCCAGTGCCCCCTCTTGCTCACCCAGCAGCACCCATGCTCCAGATGAAAGGCAAGGGAACCTTTATAGTTATTATTCTCCAAAGCCCTTAATTGTAATCTTATTCCTTGCTGGCGAGTCAGTAAATTGGCTCCAAGATCTGAGCACGTCGGGACACACAGACCTCCTAGAGACGTCCAGAGATTCTTCCAGACACATAATTCCACTCTCCCCACCCAACCCAGGGTAACTGCCAGCGTCAAAACCCACAGAGTCCCTGGGCTATGTCCAGTTGTCCCTCTGAACCTGAAGGAATAGCCAAAGACCGACACATGTACAGAGACTGACATGTCTAGAGGGCTTCTCGTCCAAGAGGATCCCAAAGCACTTTGCTCACGTGGAAGAAATAGAGTCCACCATCCCAACCTGCTGAAATGCAGCCACCTCTGGGGTGGAACATGTCAGCACTTTGAGCAAGGCCTCAGCAACACTGCCTAATACTTTAGGGCAGGGAGTGAAGAAAGGTACTGAACTGTAGGGGGAGTTTAGCAAGGGGGAATGGAGCTTTCCAAATTGGGATTTGGCCAGAAAGCCAGGAGTTAAAAACCTGGCTTCTCGCGAAAGGTGCTGTGAAATCTTCAGTGACCACGACTGATCCAGATCTTGAGAAAAACAAGTTCCGGGGACCAGAGAGCAAAGCCAATCAGATTTGTCAGGGAAAGGGAATTGAGCCTAGAAAGAGCAGCCACTTCCCTCCCTTGTGGTTCAGCTCACCTGCTCCTGCAGAGACTCAGCTGCATTTCCCAGCTGTTCCCTGGCTCTCCTGGGCCTGCTCCAACCCGTCTCATCCATCTGGCTTGACTGGGAGGTCTTTGGGGCAGGGATGGTTTATACAGCACCCAGCACAGTGGGGCCCCGATGGCTAACTACTACAGCCCCTTCCCCCGCCCCCAGTACCAGCCCACCAAAGTCTCTGCACAAGGGGGCACTGATCCGGGTCTCCAGCAGGGGCGGGTGCACTGGGCGGGCCACACTGTGGCACCTGGTGTTTTCAGGGTGCAGTGTTCGGCACACCACGGGTTAAGCGGCTGTGCTGGGCCCGGCTCAGAGGCAGGTGATTGCCTGGGGAGGTGTCAGGTGGGAAGTGCTGGAAAGTTTCCAAGGGTGCCTGGAAACTGTCCCACCTATAATTACAAGCTTGTGGGGGCCTGGGTCGCCGAAACACACCGGGATCCATGCCGACCATCCCTATGGAAACCAACCGCCTGCCTCATCAAGCCCCGTCATGCCCAGCTGCCCTGCACACCCCAGCCAGACTCAGCTCAGGAGTTCGATGGGGCACCAGCACAGGGGGATGACCCACCCAGGGTCAAAAAGCAGGTCAGCGGCAGAGCTGGGAACAGGACCCAGGAGTCCTGACGCCCAACCCCACTGCCCCAACCGCTAGACTCCGCCGCGTGCCAGAACCAGGGAGAGAACCCAGGTGTCCTGGCACGCAGGCCCATTGATTCCCTGTGCGTCCAACCACCACTGTGGCTAACGCCGCAAACCCGTCCAGGAGCTGCCCTGCCCTCCCAGCCCCTGAGCCGGTGCACTTACGTGGGGGCCGCTTTCCCACTGCGGGCCTTGCCCTGCCGAGGGGCTGCTGAGGATGGGTGACTTGGAGGGGCTGCAGAGCTCGGGGAAGGGGTTGGGGATGGACGGGAGCGACGAGGCTCGTGGCTCTTCCTCCTTCAACTTCCTGCCAGAAAGGAGAGGTTTGGGGTGAGGGCGCAGGGGCCTGGCATGTGAACCACCCTGAGATCACAGGAGCCATACAACGTTCCGATGCAAACAACAGCACAAAGCGTGGAGGATCGGGCCCAAAGTATCCAGAGCCTGAAGGTAGTCGGGCGCCCGGACCCTTGCAGCCCCTCCCCAGAGACTGACGGCTGTGCCAACAAAAGCTACCTCCGCCCCAGTCAGCAGCAGCCGCAGGCCTGGTGATTTCACTCTGCTCTTAAAGGGACGTGCCGTGCACTCCCTCAGCCGGAGAGTGGGCCCAGGCGCTGAGATCCAGAGGTGGGCGGGCGAGTTAATAATTAACTCTAAACCCCTTGGCTCTCCCTAGTGCTGTTCATCCAGGCTCAAAGGCGAAGAAGGAGCCTCCCTCCTTGCAGGCTGCACCCCTGTCTCCTCCTGCTGGATCCCTCCACCAGCTGATGCTCCCCTCCCTCCCCATGGGGGAGGCTTGTGGCACAAGCCTCCATTTTGCAGAGGAGGAAACTGAAGTATGAAGCGGGGAAGAGACTCACCCAAGGTCACACAGCCAGTCAGTGGCAGAGTTGGGACTAGAACCCAGGAGTCCTGACTCTCAGCCACCCCTCTAACCACTAGACCCCATGGTCCTCCTAGTGCTGGGCATAGAACCCAGGAGTCCTGATTCTCAGCCACCACCACCTGACTCTAACCACTAGATACCATGCTCCTTCCAGTGCTGGGCATAGAACCCAGGAGTCCTGACTCCCAGTCTTGTATTTTAACATGATCGACCTTCCAGGACCATGTGGCTTGGAGGCTAATGGTGGTGAGGGCATCACAGCTCCACAAGGGGACAGAGACACTCACTCTCCCCCCGGCCCCGGGGGCAGGCCAGACACACTGCTGGGAAAATCATGGGACCCCGTTGTGGAGGGCAGGATGGAGTTCCCCGCAATGCCCTGCTCCTAACCTGTTGACTTGGATGACCAGCGGCTGTGAGCGCTTCACGTCGCTGCCGGCCAGCAGCCCGGCCTTGTCCCGCTCGCCGGTGGGGAAGGCATGGCCATTGGACAGGCTCCGGGTTCGGTCCTGCTCCAGGTGGCCCTGGTACAGGTTGTCCAAGGTGGTGGGCAGGTCGTTCCGCAGCGCTGCCAGGTCCATGGCATTATCTGCAGAGAGAAGGGAGGAGACTGGGATGGTTACTCGTGCCTCTGTGGCTTTCTTCAAACCACCGCACCTTCCCCACCCGCCATGCCGAGCGCCAGGCTCAGCCACAGCCTGTGTCCTGCTGGGCCAGAGGCACCGAGGCCTTTTGGGGAGGGGGCACCCCTGCTCAGCACAGAAGAAGGCTGGATGCACCTTCACCCACACCCCGCGCTGCCGCTGAATCTCCTGCCACGGGGAGCTGCACTGAGGCGCACCCCCCTCCTCCAGCCTGGGGCAGAGAGCACTGCCCTGCTTCAGGAACGGGCCAAGCTGGGGAATGAGGCCTAAGCGCCCATAGGAAGGTTGGGCACCTAGAAACCCCGGGGAAAGGCAGCTGGCAGGGAGCACCCAGGCACCAGCCAAACGGGGGGGATTCCCTCTCTCTGACCTCCCACCCCCAGGGCGCGGCACAGGGCAGCGCAGCGATCACCCCACCCCCACGGTGCCTGCACCCCAAAGAGCCAAGCTGCCGCTTCATCGGCTTGGAAAGCTGTAGCTTACGTTACACCAGTGTGGCTAAGACCAGATTCTGGCCCTAACAAAGAGAAAGCCCCATCTGAGGCAAAGCAGGAAGTACCCAAACCTGCCAGAACCCTTCCTGCCCCTGGAGGGCCAGCCGCGTGCCCCTGGAGTGTGCCCTGAGCTGGGGCTGGGTTCCTGTTAGCTCATCCCTGCCGCGTGAAGCGGGGCAACCCCTCCCCTGCTATAGCAACAACCTCGGGCCACATCCCTTATTGCAACTGGGTCAGATGACTCGGGTAAAGCTGACGCCGGCTTGGCCAGAGGCCTGCGCTGAACCAAGATAGTGGGTTTGGGTCTGTTCCCTAGCAGGCAAGGGCTGGAGAGGCCCAGTGGTAAGAGGCCCTGCTGAGCCACACGGGCAAGCTGGCTTGTGCAGGAACCTTGCCCCGCCTGTGGTGCTGTCCCGTCAGGCTCATTGGGTGCACCCGGCGCCTTGGCCAGCAATTTTAAGCAATCAGGCAGGTCTTCTGGGCACAGTTATCCCTATTGCACAAGTCAGTCGGCTAATTGCACATGGACTCCATGCACTCTCACTAAGTGTGCACCAGTCTCATGCACGTGTCACTCAGCTCATTGCACATGGAGTCGCTGCCATCTCAGCCCATCAGCACCAAATTTGGTTTAGCCCTAAAGAAACATTTGCTGAGGCCGGGTATCATGCTCTCTGGCGCCTCCAGAAACGGACCAGTGTCCCCTTCCATCTCCCCTGCTCCGTGCCTGCGCTCTCCGGCAGCCTGGCCAGCTCAGCTGTACCGGGCTTTTACAGGTGCCAATATCCCAGGCTGGCAGCCCATGCTGGGTGTCAATCACTGACTCACGCTGCGGGTTGCCCCATGCTCAGCTCTCCGGTCGCCTGCACTTCGGCAAGAGCAGCTACACTGCTGGCACGAGCCAGAGCCCATCTGGCTACACCCCAGGGGCAGCCCAACGTGCCAGGCACCAGAAGGAAGAACTGCAAAGCCAGAATCAGAGGCAGGGGGCGCTGGCATCTGGCCCCTTTGGCCACGATCCGGCAGCTGGCCTCCACAGGGCACTGGCTCCCAAGTCTGCGGTGGCCCATTGTTTTCCCTTGATCCACAACAAAGGGATGAGTCAGTGTGTGGGCAGGTGACTCAACACAGCCCCACCCTTCTCACTGCAGACCTCCTCCACGTGCTTGTGTGCAGGTGGCCTGGCTAGAGGCTGGTGGGATCTAGAGCTGGGTCGGAGGCAGCGTTCGTGTTTCCTCTGTACTGGGTCCCTTTCCACCTTGCCCAGAGGTTTGTGTTGGCCGTGGAGGTCAGGGCAGGCATTGCCCACACACTCTGCTGTGGAATAGCTGCTACTGGGGCGGGCATGGCCCAGTCTACCCGTCCTGGACCGGGTGCCTCTGTCCAGGCAGATCTACAGACACAGGGGCAATCAGTTAGCTGCTCCATCTAGCTGATCGCTGAAGGGGCCATTGGTCTAACGGGCTAGCAGCCTGGACTGGGATGTCCAGATGATCCCCACTGGCCGCTCCTGGGCTGCCGGGCCCTTCCAGCTGGCCCGAAGACTCTCAGTTAGGAATTCCTAAGGTGCCCATCACCGTGGTGGCTGGGCTCCAAAGAGCCACGGGTAGGTTAGAAAAGCAGCTTTCTGGATTTATCTGTGTTGCCGTGATGTTGCGTCTGCCCCCCTCCATCTGGGTCCAGGGGCTGTCGTGGGACGCGGGGTTGAGATGGGGAAGCTGTGGTGGAGTCAGACAAGCTGGGGCAGCCAGATTCGCCACTAGGCCTGGTGACCACTGAGACAGGCCGTCCGGAGCGTGAAACAGACACTGGGTGGGTTGGATAATGAGGCCAGTCCTGTAGGCTCTGGGGCCAGCTTCTGATCCCTGTTACTCCCCTGACTTCACAGGATTCATGCCAACCCAGCTGAGAGCAGGACGCAAGCCGTTCAAAGCTCCCACGACACAGCTGTTCCTATCAGCTCAGCCGTCTCCTCTTCCTTCCCTCACACCCCGGGAGGGATAGCTCAGTGGTTTAAGCATTGGCCTGCTAAACCCAGGGTTGTGAGTGCAATCCTTGAGGGGGCCATTTAGGGATCTGGGCCAAAAATTGGGGATTGGCCCTGCTTTGAGCAGGGGGTTGGACTAGATGACCTCCTGAGGTCCCTTCCAGCCCTGATATTCTATGATTCTATGACCCCTATTTGCAGGCTGCGACCCCAGCGACAGAGGACTCCCTCGCACGCCCTGGTGTCTCAGCACTGCTGACCACCCTGGGAATGCTTGAAATAATTTGCAGGGCCCCGTGCTGGAGGGATCGATCTGGAGGAAACAGGATTGCTGGCGTCTTCTGTTGCTAATTACATACGTGACCTCTCCTGGCTCCCAGAGAAGGTGAAGCCGAAGCATGGTGCTGGGGAATAAAGACAAGGGAGGTGTGCTCAGCAGGAGCTAGCCTGCCCCGCTCAGAGAGATGGTGGGAGAGAGACTAGGGAGTCTGGTGGGTTTTCAACTACCAATGGCTTTTCATCACCACACCCCGTGTCGCAGGGCAGGGCTTTATCCCCAGTGTACAGTGATCAGACAGCCTTCTGGCTAGCCAGGCTTAAACTTTAAAGTAGTCAGGGCCAAATCTGAAACAGTTCTTTCATAAGGTACAGGTGGGGTACTGAGAAACAGAGTGGCCAAGCAACCTGTCCCGGGAGTCTGTAACAGAGCTGAGAATTGACCCCACTGCTCAACTAGCGTCCTGCCTGCCAGACCAGACTTCCCCTCTAGCTCTGCATGGGGACCGGATGGCTCCAGGGGGCTGGCTGTGGGCCACAGAGCCTGTCACCCGTTTGGATCCCCCGCTCCGGTGAGTGGTAGCCGGATGCTGTCACGCAGCAACCCAGGCCTGCTATGAGTCTGGGGGCCTGCACGACCACAGTCAGCCCCTTTGTCTCTCCAGGGCAGGCTGAGGCCTGTGGCTGGCAGGGCGGGTGTCTCATGGCGAGAGGGAAGCTCGGCCTGCTGATGCCAGGGCTGTGCCAGCCCAGTGGAGATTAGTAGGGGACTCCAAAGGCAGGGGGGTGGACACACATAAGCCGGCCCCTGGTCCCCGATTTAACCCTTCTAGCTCTGCTTTGGGGGGATGCTGTCTACAAGCTACCTGTCCTAGCACCCCGTTGCCGGGGGCAAGGAAGGGAAGGCACAACAAGCCCAATTCATCCTGGCTGTGGCTGCCGCTGCCGCAGTTTGGGGGAGATACAGCGCCCCCCCTTCCCCCCAGTGTCACGAAACAAACAGGTTTTATGGGCCTGGGAGAACATTGTTAAAATCACTGGAGTATTAAACTGGAGGCGTCTGCAGCTCCATGGGCACGTCGGGGGAGGGACCCTTCCCCTGCCACGCCGGCACCCCCTGCAATGTTAGGCTCCCCGCCAGCCAGTCGGAGTCCCTCCCCACACCAACATCTCCAGCCACAGCAATGTTGCCTATCCAGCCGGGGGTCTGGGCCGGAAGGAGGAGGGAACATCAAATCTGGCCAGGGGACAGGGGCACCTGGATCCTCAGCTTGGCAACTTCTTGCTGTTTCCTTCCCTCCCCCGCTCTGCTCTGACTCAAGCCACCCTGGCCCGAGGGGAAAGGGGCAGGGTTCCTTTAAGGCGGGCCCTGAGCTGTGATTCACCCTCACGGCTTCCTGCCTTTTCTATCCCCGCTCGAAAACAACCACCCACCCCAGACAAACTGCAAAACAAAGCAGTGATCGCCAGGCGGATTGTGCAACGGGTACTACTAGGCACCACCGAGACACTGGGCGTGGGACCACAACCCACCCAACCATGCCGGGCATTTTCTCCCACTGCAGCCCCCTGGCATGGGGGGGGGGAGGCTGCTGCATGGGGGGGAGGTCGGGGGGTAATGGGCAGTGGGTGGCAGATCCCAGGCCTTTGACTCGTCTTGAACCAGAACAGCATTACACTGGGTTTGTGCTTGGATGGGAGACTGTGCTGACCCTGCGGGATAAAGCGTGCCGGCGATCTGGAAAATGGCACTCTTTGCACGCAGGCACGGGGTGACTCTCCGGTAAGCGAGGAAGCCATGGCCTTCGGCACTGAAAGTCCAGGGGCCTTCAATCCTAAATCATTCAGGCGTTTGTGAACATTTTCCCCACTGTCCCCGTCACATGGATGTGATGCAAATCTGAGGCCCTTGTGGTGATTAAATCCTCTTGTACCTTGTACTGGAATCCAGGTGTTTACCTCGGTATCCTGGCAAAATTCCAATCTAGGGTAACTGCATTCTGCTGACCTACATTCCACCCCAGAGATTCAACTGCGTGCAAAATTCTCCTTCACGTCCTGACTGCACCTCTTATATAGTGTCGCTGTGAACTGTTACAAACAGCTGTGACCTTCTACTCCAGAGGTGGCTGCATTTGGGAAAAAGAGGACATGATTCCCAATCACAATCAATCTGCTAAACTTGGGATCCTTTAGTAGGCAACAAATTCTATGGTTTTAAATTAATTTATCATAAAACCTCCCCAAGGAAGAGCAATGGGTTTTGCCTCCAATATTTAAGTGGCGCTTAGACCCCTCTGCACAGGATTGAATCCCCCCTGGAACCACCAGCAAGGTACCAGCCTGAGTGTGCTTGGAGATCTTCGCATAGCACATGAGCGGTAAAGGAAGTGCAGCCAGGACACTGCTTCCCACAGCCTAATGGAGCTGATCATCACTTCCCCCTACCCCGCAGCCCATACACCTTCCTGCTTCTGGCTAAACCAGTTCTACACCTGGACCTCCCCAGCATGATGAACTGCTGGCCTCTCCCTGCTACAGCTCACCCCCTTGGTATCTGGGACATCCAGCTGGCCGGGATGTTCAGACACCAGGTCGTAACAAGGGCGCTGTGTGGTCCTGAGCCTTTGTCAAGGAAAGGAGAGCTCTGCTACACAAGGCCATATTGCTTTGCGGGGCCTAGGACTAAGGGGTGAATGAGAGAAATCAAAGGGAGTATCAGTCCAGAATAGACCAGTGGTCCATCTGGCCCAGCATCATCCCCCTAATCTGGAGGGCTGGATTAGCCCACTGGTGCCATTCAGTCTGCTATCCCCCCGTTCCCTGCTGCACAGGATCAGAACCCTGTGTCACACCTGGTCTGCCACAGCCAGGCCCAGCTGGTCCAGTAACTTGCCTCAGATGATGACTAAAGCTGGATGAGTCAGAGGAAGGTGCTGTTTTCCTTCCACCCTCATGCAGCACACCAAGCTCTGCAATACTGTCCCAGGAGGGCAGGTTCCTTCCTGACCCCTGTAGGTAGCCGTCGCTTTGTGCCCTGCAGCATGAGGATCAATACCTCTCGTGATTGTATCCTAGTAGGTGCCAGGCTTATTCAGATAGCGCCTCATGGCGCATGGATACAGCCACCGGCTCAGACTCAGGAGGGAGACGCCCAAGCCCAGCCATTAGCTCTGGCTGGAACAAATCCTGTAGCTGCCACAGCAATAAACCTGCGGAGGGATGTAATCCAATTGGCTTGATTCCTTGGCTCCGGTTTAAGAACCCTTTTCTACAGTCGAGTGCGTTTCTGGGAAGTCCCAAGGTCGCAAAAAGCAACTTTAGTTTGATGAGGAACAGCAGGCACTTGTAAACAGCGATGCCAGCTCTCCTCTGCAGGGGCTGCAGCTTCCCTGTGCTGGCTCGGCCAGCCCTGAATCATGCCCCTGCTTCAAGGCTTCTACGGGGCTTTGCTGGGGTAGAGGACCAGCAGAGTGCAGATAATCTCTGGCCATTCCCCACCCCACCTCACGGCTCCCGCGCCCAGCGCCCCCCATAGCTAGGGCAATGAGGGATCGGGTCTTTGCCTGTTTATGCTTGTTCTGAATGTGGCCCAGTGGGTCTGTCCCTGCACTAGATCCTCAAGTCCCTGGAGAAGGGGCTGCTCATTTTGTGCAGCGCCCTGCACGCTGCCAGCCCCCAGCAAAGCATGAAATATTGCAAGGCTGAGGTTCATGTCCGGCGCCTGAAATCTACAATCTGCCCTGACTGTGGCACTGGGGGGATCTGGGAAAAGGAAGGAATCCTGGAGCCAGGCTAGAGTCACACGGGGGCATGTTCAGAAGATTAGGGAGAAGCGTGGAGACGCATCTGTGTGTGGAACTCAGCCCAGCACGGCTGCTGCTTCATAAACCTCCCTGCGAGCACATACCGTACTGCAGAGCGAGCGAAAAGTATGAGCTGGATTAGAGCAGAACCCATGAGGGGCCGAGAAGCAGACAGAGCCCTGGGGTTAAAGTCCTCTGATGAGCCAGAGGCTGCAAACACAGCAGAATTTCTACAGAGGGGAAAACATTCTCCCCATAGACACATCTACCGATCTGGATCCAGCATACATATACGCTTGGAGCAGGAGACTGGTGGTCAGGCCTCCTGGGCTCTAGACAGGCCTCTGCCTCTGGCACACTGGGTGACCTTGGGTGAGTCCCCTCCCTTCTCTGAAACTCATTTTCCCCAGCTGTAAAATGCAGGTGAAGATACTCACCCTGGATTGTTAAGCAAGGGTAATTTTCAGGGATGAAACGGCTATAGAAGTGCAAAGCAAGGTAGGTACATTTCTCTGATGTCATATCACACATAGCATCGTGCATGAAACACCACACAGCATTGTATTTCTTACACGCCCAAAATACCTGATTCATTAACTGTATTACACTTTACAGATATAATTTTCAAAATGGCTCAAGTGATTTAGAAGCACAAGCCTTATTGACCTGCAATGGGACTTGTGCTCCTAAGTCACTTAAGAGGCTTTTGAAAACCCCACCCCAGATATCTATCAGCACCGGGCTGCTGCAATCACAAGCGCTTTCAAGATGTTTATAATAAAAGTGTCATGTGAGTGTGAACCAATCATGTACATTGTTTCCGGTTTATTAGTAGCTTACACAGAGTTCAAAGGGATTTGCACCAGTATACAGGAAATGTTAGAGTCTAAAGTTTGAACGTTGACTCGACGGCTAATCCAGTAGCTACCAGCAACAATACAACCCACAAGAGCGTAGTGTCATATGAGACTGGAGTCACGCTGAGGGCTAAAACAATGACCCCAAAGCTGAGGAATGACGGTATGTTTACACTGCACTGTGAAGCCAGGTGTGTGGACTCGGTAATTCCAAGCATGTGCTTGAGCGTTCATACTGCTTTTAAACCTGGGTTTATGATTGCCGGACCTGGCACTCACAGCCGTGCTGACGCGTCCACGCTGCACAATGACGGGGCCGGGACCCAAGTCACAGGGGGACTTGGGCTCTGATGACCCACCCCCCAGCAGGGTCTGAGGACCTGGGTACTGAGTGCTCGCTGACCTGTCAGACTAATTTATGTGTGCACGGAAAGGGGGGCTTGGGCTGAAATCAGAGACAGAACCCAGGCTTAGCGTGCACTAGAGACACAGCAAAGGCTATAGGCTATATATATGTGGGCATTAAAGAGCTGGAGAATTGGGTTCAGTGCCCTGTCTCTGCCACAGGCTTCCTGTGTGACCACGGGCAAGCCTCTTAGGACCAGATTCCTAAGGTATTTAGGTACCTAAAGATGTAGAGAGGCTCCCCAGCAGGGGCCTAAATACCTTTAACCCCGTGGCCTTTAGTCTCTTTGCATCTCAGTTTCCTGTGTGCAAACGGGGGCAATAGACCTGCCCTACCTCACACGGGGCGCGAGGAGGAATGCAGTATCAATTGTACCAACGCTCCAGTGTCTCCGTGACAGGCACCTTGCAGCTAGGTAGAAAAATAGCTTATGTCCAAAGGCGTGTCTGCTACAGTTTGATACAGGAGTGTAGAAAAGGGTTAATGCCTTTAAGAACCTGGTGGCTGGTTGCAAGGAGCCCCAGGATCCTCCCTAGTTAACATATTTTCTAAAATATGACCCATCTTCCTAATCTAAACGTGGCCCAAATGGAAACACCAAGAATGTACCCGCCCTCTACGTACAGCCCAGGAGCAAGTTACTACTTATAATGAGCACCAAGCTCCCAGAAGCCTCAAGATCAACAGCCTGTCATCACTGGTCTCCGGCAATTTACAGCCTTGCCGTCTCCTAGTAACTCTGGCCCTTCATTCCTCTGCCAGTTTCTTCTTTTGACATAAGCACTGGCACAAGGACTTTTGGTAACACTTTGCTGCCTCAGCCGATGCTCTTTGTCACCTCTCAGGTCCTGATCCTGCTTTTATCCTTTACACAATGCCGGATCTGGCCCCTTTTAAGTGTTAGAGCAACCACTGCACCAATGTATTGCATGGACACAGGGAAATACAAGTTCTCTCACACTGGTATAAATAGGAATAACTTCCTTGACCAACAGAGGCCAGCATCAAACTGCAATGAGAGAGGAGGTTCAGGTCCCACAGATCATAGAGGTCCAACCCTGCACAATAATGCTCCTCCCTGATCCAATAGGGGACGTTTTCTTCCTGGCCCCCAGTTGCGTGAAGGGTTTTTAACCAGAAGCAAGACAGTGTCATGGTGGCCCAGGACTTCTTGCCATGAAATAAATTCCTGTGGTCTGAGTTTGTGCTGAGGCACCATGCCAAACGAAACCAGCGAAGGGCTGAAATTAACCAGCTGGTCTGGGTAGGTTCTTTAGTTACCGGTTCAAAGAGGGGAGGCTGGGGGTCCATGGTTCCAGAGCTCTGAAGACACCATAAGCCCTGCTTACACTGTGTCTACACTCCGGAGACTATACTGGCTCAGCTCTGTCGGTGTTGCTATGCCAGCATAACCCCATAGTGTAGACGCCACCTACACTGGCAGAAGGGGCCTTCCACCTCCCAGAACGCTTCTAGCTACATCAACGGAAACATTCTTCTGTCCACATAGCTGCGTCTACACTGGGGATTAAGGTGGCACAGCTTCGTCGGTCAGGGAGTTGCTAGGCGCTGACCCAAGTTTTAAGTGTAGACGATTTAATTCCCTTTTAATCTGGATGTGGATTCTTAGGGTCTGCCTGCCGAGTCACAGGCCCGATTCCTTCCACCCCTCACCCGGGGGACCTGCCCCAAAGGGTTACTTTACATGACAATCACAGAGGCACTGGGGGTGGGGGCAGGGGTGTCACTCTCCAACCTGGCAAAAGCAGGGTTGAAAAGAACTGCACCACGTCTCTGAATGCGTTCGGGTGAAAGAAGGGGAGACACCACCAGAAGAAGCACTATGCAAAGAGTGCAGATAGATAGCCAGATAAGGTGGGTGAGGTAATATCTCTTGTCTCTCTAACATCCTGGGATCAACATGGCTACAACAACACTGCAAACCGAAAGACAGATGGATACTCGGAGACATCAATGCTTCCAGCATCTAAGCTGCACCTCAGAAAACCAGGTACCCGAATACTCCATCTAAGAGTTTGTTTCTTTGATCTCCAAGCACCTCTACAAAGGGCAGCTGAGAGACCCAGGCATGAAGTGTAGCAGGAAATTGGGCCACTTGCCGCCCACTCCTAAATTTGCAAACTATTATGCTTTCTGCCTGGGAGCCTAGTCCTGGAAAACAACTTCCTGGCTAAAGGCAAAGCCACTGGCTAGGATGCAAAACACCCCCCGGCCCCCAAGACACACACAGATGCATAAATAAAAAGAGATCCATACAGACACACATCCACACACAGACCACCAGCACATAGACACATGCACACATGCAGACGGACCACACACATGCACGTGCAAACACAGACACACACCTCTCTAAAAAAAACCCCTGATGAAATCAGTACACGACCAACAACAGCACGTCCTGGAGAAAGCAGCCCCATTTAAAGTTTAATTTGTTCAACAGGCCAAAGCGAGAGGTTCATTGATCTCAAGGTTTAATCATTCATTTCTTATTTACAGTCCCCAGGGAGGGGGGCATATTTGTCTCTCCACAGCCCTTCTCAGGTCACTGCCTGCCCAGTAGGGGAGGAAGCTTGCAGTCCATTGTCTGTCTCTGGTCAAGGTCCCAGGCTCATGCTCTCTCAGGAACAACTTCCCAAGATGTTTGTGCTTGAAAGTTCACGTGTGTCGCTGGAGGGGGAGCAATTTCAAGGCCTGGCGTTGCAAAGTGGCTTTCCAAACAACTAGATTCAGAGCTTGGTTTCGCTGGTGGAAATCTAGAGTGGACCCACTTACTGTGGATTTAACGCAAGTCAAACTGAGGTTGGAGCCTGGTTTTCTAAGTCCAGGAATCCGCTCACTTTCCGCTGAATGCAGCCACCTCTTGGGAGAAACACAGCAGCTGTTTTAACAGTTGCTGCAATGCAACACAAGAGTTGAAGTAACGATTGCTGCGTCCAGTTGAAACATGAAGGAGAATTTAAGGCGGCAGAGCTGGAATTTGGCTAGAATACAGGCCTGTAATGCAAAGCATGAGCAAAATGATATGGCCACAAGTGACTGGGACCTTAGTTTTACATCTCCCCTGAAACACAGCTAGCTTGTTATGATTTGCACTTATCATCACAAATCTTCAGATTCACGAATTCTGTGAATCCTGAGCTGTCAGCAAACAAGAGGAGAGACAGGAGCCACAAAAATGGATCAAGACACCTGGTCCAAATAGGTTTCAGAGTAACAGCCGTGTTAGTCTGTATCAGCAAAAAGAACGAGGAGTCCTTGAGGCACCTTAGAGACTAACAAATTTATTTGAGCATAAGCTTTCGTGGTCTAAAACCCACTTCATCGGATGCATGCAGTGGAAAATACAGGAGGAAGATATATATACACACAAATAACATGAAACAATGGGTGTTACCATACACACTGTAACAAGAGAGTGATCACTTAAGGTGAGCTATTATCAGCAGGAGAAAAAATCCTTTTGTAGTGATGGTCCAAATAGTTTGAGAAGATGGCCCTCGAGTCGGCATCCTCCCCAGACCTTGCTGCAATGGGCAAGTGCAGTCTATAGAGCGGCACCCCGGCGTGGAAACAGCTTATCCTTGGCAAAAGACTGACGGATCAGAGCTCCGCAAATGGAGAATCTGACTGGAGGGCTCAGAGTGCGGAAATGCACTGGTATATGGGAATCAAATGAAGCCAGAACAAAGCACGAACGCACTTCCCTTAACCTCACAGAGAAACACTGTCTGAGGCTCCAAGCAACCTGGACGCCATGCCTGAAACTCAGCCCATCCTCTCAACCACCTCCTGCAAGACGCTGCCTCTGGGACCTCACGCATCTGTGTGAGCTCCTGCCCCATGGGAACCTGAACAAAATGGCAATGAACAGCTGTACTGCCAGGGCAAACAGGGACGCCGAGATTGAGACGGCCGAGAGCACAGAACTGGATGGGTGGGAAGCCCCCAACCAATCACTGGCAACATCCTGGGTTCTAGAGTATGGTGCCGTACACGGGTGGGTTCTTGACTTTCTAAATTTCCAATCAAAACAAAGAATCTCTCAGGATAGTGCAGGCTCTATCTAGAACCTCAAAAATTTTGAACTTCGTGGGTTTTCAAACTGAGAACCGTTTCGAACTTCCTGGGTTCTACAGTGAAGACCACCTTAAACCTCGGTGGGTTCTGGATTTTAGAGCCCTTAAGAACTTTCTCTTGGACGGTAAATGCTTTGGGGCGGGGACAACAGGCCGAATTCTCAGCTCGTCTAAATCAGCAGAGTGCGATGGATGCAGACGGGCTGAGGCTCTGGCCTCATGACTTGGGGCGCGTTGTGCACTGCTTGCATTTATCAAAACCCAGATAATATCAATAACTTCACTGGCTCAAGGAGCTCGGTCCTTTTAGAACCTCCCAGGCTCCTGGATTTTGAACCTTTTAAAATCCAACCGTGCCCATGAAAGCTGTTTAAAGTTTAAAGACGACTAGAGCAGCTGCCCAGCCTGCCCGTACGGGCCTTAGCGATGGTTGACAAAGCACCAGCAACAATCAGCCAGAGCGCAGCACTTCTTGGCTCACGGACGAGCTGCTTCTTTCATCCCTGCCCTGAATGCCCCAGCGCCCTGCAGCCTGCTGGTTAGCTCAGGACAGCCGTGCCTGGCTGAGCTGATGGGCTGCGGGTGGGGAAGACGGGTGCCCTGGAGCTTAATTCATTGGATGTTCTGTCCCTGCCATCCGCTGAGAGACCATCCAGCACTGACTGACGGCCCCCCAGCAAACACAAACCAAGGGCTTTAATCAGTAACTTGTGCTCTCACCCACCCCCACCTCCCAGCTCAGCCATTAAAGCTTCTCAAAGGAAGGCCGTCTGCCTGAATTTCATGTGCAAGCAACTTCCAAGTGGTGCCAGGCCACAGCCCAGCAGGGGTTGGGGTGATTTCGACCATAGGACCGAAGGGCACTGCCTGGGAGGAACCGAGAAGTCTCCCAACCTCATCAGGAGCAGAACTCTTGCCTGGCAGCTGCGTGGATAGCCAGACTCTGGTTCACAGACCTTGGGGGGTGTTCCCCGATTGGTCAGGCAGCACTCAAAGGGTTAATGGCACAGAAAGGGACGATTGGCTTTGGGGACAAAGCCCTGCCGGGCTGCAGGAAGGATGTGGGTCCTTTGTTGGCATCCTTGGACATGGGCTCAGCAGCAGAGGAAATGACCCGAGGGAAGAGGCCAAAGCACATCTTCCCCAGCAGGGCTCAGTCAGGGACCTGTTATGCAGACAATTTCATTGATCAGTTCTACAGCCCTCCCTGGGGCCCAGGCAGGCTGGCTTGGCCGGCCCCCTTTGGCTACACTGGAGTGGGCTTCCCTTTGCGCCATGTCTTGCTCATCCGCTGCCCTGGCTGTGAGCAGGATGACGAGACACCCAACTTCGCGCAAGCGGATGGGGCAGGAGTAAAGAAGGGCTCCGCTCTTGTCTCCCAGCTTCCGTGCCCTTCCTCTTTGCGAGCTCAAAATCCAGCCCTCAGAAATGTCCTCCAGTCATCGCCGTTCTCATCGGTAACCTGGCCCAGGGGGATATTCCTGGGGAGAAGCCGCTCCCGCTAGAGGCCTTATTGTATTTCCTAGTCGGGCCGTTTGGTCCTTACCCCCTGTCCATCACCATGGCATCAGGTCAGCACTCGCTAGCATCAGATTGCTCACTACCAATGGTGCCTGTTTGCCCTAAGTGCCCTGGCCACAGCCTGAGCATCGCCTGCCCCTACAGGTACTTTCCAGCATCCTGGGGCCAGCCCCACATCATGGAGGTGCCAGATTCACGCGTAAGCCAGGCAGCTGGAGACGATCGATGGAGCACAAAGGCGGAGGCCAGCAAGGGCCCTCAGCTGCTGAGATAATAAACCCCACACACAGTCAGGTGCTGGACTCTGGGCTTTCGGGGCTCCAGGTTCGCTCCCGAGACTCACAATCAGCCCCCTGGCCCCGCAGGGAAGCATTTGTTCCCTAGGTGACGACGTCGCTTGAGGCCCTGGCTTCGTTAGGGTCTGCCCTGCAGCTGCTGCAGCCAGAAACAGGTGCTCCCCGGGAACCCCTCCCTGTGACTACTCCCTTCCCGATGGCAGACGGGGATCCCGTTCCCGTCTATCGCCCATCCCTGCAGACACCCCAGGAGCAAGGCACCGCGCAGGCCCCAGCTCTCCTGCCCCGAGGGCCTCCCCTCTGCCCGGTTCCCGTCTCGCTTGGCTGGGCTGGGGGGGCAGGAGCAGGTGAGGAAAGCGGGTCGGGGGAGAGAAACGAAGGGGAGAAAAGTAGGAACGGAGGGAGGAAGAAGGCAAGGAAGGGGAGGGTGGAACAAAGAACCCACGGAGAGAGAGAAGAACTATGGCGGCAGAGAGAACGCATTAGTCTGAAACGAGGGATATTGCCCCCAAGCCTTGCCGGCTGGAGGAGCATCACGTCACACCCCTACCCTCGCCCCTGCGTTACAAAGCGTGCCCCGCGTCCCAGACTAGTGTTTGTTGGGAGCAGCCAGCCGCCTACCTGGCCCCGGCGGTGGGGGAGACGCTCCGTCTCTGCTGGCCTGACGGAAAAACTGGGGATTCCTGTTCCGCTCTAGTCCTTTATCTACCTGCCCCGCTGGCGGCTGGCAGCACCCGCCCCCTGCTTGACATCACGCCGGGGAGAGGGAAAACAGCTTCACTGGCCCGGCAGGATCAACAAAAAGCCCCGTGGCAGGTGCAGGGCCCCGCTGCGGCTGCCTGCTTTGCTATTAACTTTGTAACTCAGTAGCTTTGTTGATCACTCCCCCCCCGCACACCCTCCCACGCCCGGCCCCTTTTCCTTAGCTGACCTTCTAGGATTCGGCATAGCCGGGAACTGGGAGATGCCAACTATCCCCACGCACCCCGTGGTCCCACTGTTTGCATCAGGCTTTGTCCCAACCTCGGAGGACCCAGGGTAGGGTGACCAGATGTCCCGATTTTATAGGGACAGTCCCGATATTTGGGGCTGTGACTTATATAGGCGCCTATTACCCCCCACCCCCTGTCCCAATTTTTCACACTTCCTGTCTGGTCACCTTAGACCAGGGGGATGCTGGACCAGGAGGGAGACAGGGTCGTGGGTTCACTCAGCCCGTTAGGCCTTGAAAGAGCCTGTGATCACCATGGCCCTGGAGAGGGAGGCTGGGCTAGTGGCTAAGGCACAAGGCTAGCAGCCAGGAGAGCAGGGTTCGCTCGGTGTGACCTTGGCCCAGTCTCCTCATCGCAGTTCCCTGCCCTCTCCCCCGTCACAGGCTTAATTCTTCAGGAGTTTCTTAGCAGGCTGTGTGTGCCCCTATGGGAACAGACCTCTCTGCGACAGGCCTTGCCCTCTGGGGGTGCCAACCTGCCTTGCGACCCTTTGCGGGCATTTCGGGGGCCGCAAGCTGCCCTGAGCAGCCGGGGTAGGGGGGGTTGGGTGGGAGGAAGGGCAGCAGTGCCCCCTGGAGACCGATTGCTCCAAGCCACTGCCATGTGTGCTCTCCCTGCCCCCCACCCGAAATCTCCCCTTTTGGCGCCATTCACCCTGGCCAGGAAACGGGCCCCATTCTGGATCCCACCCGGGGCAGGCTCTGCCCAGTCACTAAGGAAAATAAATCCTGGCTGTTCCCCGCCACCAAACACAGGCATTGGGGATCCTATATCCCGAAGGACAAGACGGGCCTGCAAACCACCTCTAGGGCGTGTGAGGCTTCTGCCTTGCACAGAATCGCCCCGGCTCCGAGCCCCGTCGCTCTCGCTGGCAGGAATGTTCCCTGGAACCTGCCAGCTGCCGACGGGCCCCTCCCTGGTCCAGACGAGACTCCCACACCTCCGCTCCCTGCCCTGAATCAATGGGCCCATTGTGCTGGGGCAGGGTGCCCATGCCCTATGGCAGCCTGTGTGGTTAGTGCCTCCCCCTCCCTGCCCGGCTGGGTGCGTCTCCCTCCCACCGCCCCGGCATTGTGAACCCCGCCTGACTGATCGGCGGGTGTAAGGGGAGCTGGGGGAGAGGCACAACCGACAGTGGGGATGCGTCGAGGTGGGGAAGGGCTTTGTCCCCCATCCTAGGCCTTTCCTTGGCACTATGGACCGACCTTCAGAGCAGCCCTGGATGGGGAAGCACCTGCCACACCACGCTTTCCCACCAACCCCCTCCAGCTCTGCAGCTTCCCTGGGGGCGTCTGTGTCCTTGAGTCCCACATTCCCCCCAGTCAGGCGAATATATTTCCATGCCACTCCTCCCCAAGGCAGCGCTCCCGACCCCAAGGGCGGGTGCCACCCGCCAGGACTTTAGATGCCAGGCACCCACCCAGGCCCGGAGCGGCAGCTGCTTACAAGGGGCAGGTCCAGCTGTTGGGATTCCAAGGTGGTCGGCAAATCTGGAGTCCAGCGTCCTGGGTCCAGGGGCGCTTGGGGGGTGACAAGGAAGGATGCTGCCACTTGGAACATCGAAGAAGGCCATGCCTAGCGTGGACAGATGCTCTGCAATATTCCCTCGCGTGGGCTGGCTGATGCCCAGCAATGCCAACCCACAGCCCCCTGGCTATTCCAGCCCTGGACTGCCTCCCACAACAACTCTGCCTGCCCCTCAGTCTCGATTCACAGCCCTCCTGCCACTCCAGCTCTGGGATCCCCACGCAATGGAGGCTCTGCTGTGTCCAGTACCCCCGGTGCCCCATTCTCCTGGTCTGATCTCTGTCTCTTCCCCTGTCCGGGATTCTCCGTGCCCCTTTGAACTTGTGGGCGGGTGCCAGGCTGGGCCAGCAGCCGGTGTTACTCAGCACTCTCATTATGGATTTCATAACTCGCAGAGGGCCCTGTCACTGCCTGGCCCCTGGCCAAGAGCAACATAGGTCCGACCTGCACCATTCAGGGCTCGCCAGGGAGACAGGCGGAACTGCAGCAGCTGTGCCATGCCCGGGCCCAGCTGCTTGGACCTAGCACGCTCCAGGGTATTTATTACCCTGCCTGGGTACGGAGAGAGGGCTGGGAGGTGCCCGCCAGCCCAGATGTTAGTCAGGCACAGCTGGAAGGCGAATCTGAACAGTCACAGAACAGAGCCGTCTCCATCTCGTTATCAGTGGGGGAAATCTCAGGGCAGGGGAAAGGGCTGCCCTGCATATCGGGCCTCTGTACCGTCTCCCTCTCCATACACAGCCCCCTTCCAGGGTCCGGGCTGATCCCTTTGCTCCTGCTGCATGTGCTCAGCAAAGGGGCTGGGAGTCCCCTGCGTGACCTGGCACCGGGGCACTGGGCTTCGTCCTGCCGAGCTTATCTGCCCCTCCACGTGCTGGGGGCGTGTGCCTAGTATGCTCCTGGGCCCCGCGCAGAGGCGTGACGCAGCTTTGCACACGGCGGTTGTGCACAGTGACTGTGCATAGCGCATGTATGTGTGCAGGGTCAGGAATCAGGGCCGACGGCAGAGCCCAGCTCCGGTGACCTAACCAGGGTAGCTGGTCTGTAACAGGCTGCCTGACTGGTGGGGAGAGTCAGCGGACTGGTCTTAAGCCAGCAGCATACACAGGTCACTGCTTGCTTCACCTGCTGGAATAATTTATTCACAGACATGATAGTGCCTGCAGCCCTGCTCCTGCCTTCGATCCAGCCTTGCCTTACTCCAATTAACCCAGTCCTAACCGCTGGCTCTGAGTGCTGACTTCTGCTCTAACCACTCGGCATGACTGCCCATGTCCTCAGTGGTGGGTGTGCATAGTCCGTGTCTGAGTTCAGGGCTGGATGCGTATTGCAGGTTTGTACATAAGACCATAAGAGCGGTCAGACCAATGGGCCATCTGGCCCAGTATCCTGTCTCTGACAGCAGCCAACGCCAGGTGCCCCAGAAGGAATGAACAGACCAGGGAATCATCAAGTGACCCATCGCCTGTCGCCCATTCCCTGCTTCTGGCAAACAGAGGCTAGGGACACCATTCCTGCCCATGCTGGCTAATAGCCATTGACCGACCGATCCTCCAGGAACTTACCTCGTTCTTTTGTGAACCCTGCTCTAGTCTTGTGCAGGATGGCTGTGCAGGGTGCAGGTCTGAGTGTGGGCGGCGTGCACTGGTGCATGGTGAGTGTGCATTGTGGGCATACGTAATACTGGCTTGCAGGCAGGCGACCTGTTTGTGCCCCCACATGCTCACACCCAGGTGCCTTTGCGGCTGCAGGGGTGCCCCCTCCAGGTGGCTGGTGCTCTTAACAGAGAGACGTTGTGCGTGTGCCCAGCCAGCAGCAGCAGAGTTGTAAATCTTGACAAAGTGCTGGGACAGCATTTTCCACCAGACTCTTGTGCAATGTGCAGGGATTAATGTTCAAAATTCAAAACACAATCAGTGCCCCCCCCACCCCCGCCCCCGCCGTCCTCTCTCAACCCCGGCCGTGGAAGAAACAACTGTGACAGATGGGGAGGCTTCAGAGCTAAAAAAGACCCACCCACCCATGGTTCTGCAGCGCTCATTCCCCACTTCTCCCTCTGCAGCTGGAGGAGAGGGCTTGGGTGGGGACGGCGGATGCTGTTAAAGCAGCCATCGGCCTTCATTGGGCTGGGGGAGGCAGCCCCATCCCCTGAGTGTCTGTTGCCCAACACCTGGCCCCAGCTCTGCGGGCTAAGTCCAAGTGCTGATCCTGGCTCTGCCCCCCTCAATCTTGCCTCAGGCAAGTCACTTTTCTGCTCTGTGCCTTGGTTTCCCTTGCTCTGGGGTCGGGACAGCAACATGGGGACAGGGAATCAGGCTTTGTCTGTTAATTCTGTGCAACGCCTGGACAATCCATGACAATGCAGAAGTCAGTGCCTCAGTTTCCCCTCCCACCCTGTGTCTGTTCAGACTGTCAGCAGTCTGGGACAGGGACTGTCTTGCCCTAGGTTTCTGTGCAGTGCCTGGCTATGCAGCTGGGTCCTCTGCATTCTGCTGCCACACGAATAATAAGCAATAATCCCATTAAACCCATTCTGAGGGGCATGGGGAGCTGGTGTCTAGACCCCTGGCAACAGGAGGGCTTGGAGCACTCTAAGCTGGCCAGATCCCTCGACAAAACGCTCCACAAATCACAGCACCCAGTGGATACAGAACCGGACTGTAGCAGCCGGATTTCCTGGCAGGAACCTAATGCAGAGTCCTGTCCTCCCCTGCAATGCTGGCTCCAAGCACTGCTCCATCCAGCCTGGTAGGGCTTCTCCCGCAGCACCATGAGGCCTGTTACCCTGCAGAGGCCTGAACCTGGAGAGGAAGGGGGAGTTGCCCATATTGCACTGGGCCAGTTGCTCACTGCTGCCCTTTCAAGTGTGGGGAGTAGGTCAGGATTCCTCGCTGGTCCCTGCGCAGATGGGTCCATGCTGATGCCCCTTTCTGAGTCCGGAACGCACCTTCCAACAAAGCCCCTGTCCAGATCACCGAGGACAGCATACTAATGATCTCTGGGCGATCTGCCAGCGCACACAGCCCCAAGCAAGCAGTCTCTCGGCTCTCTGCGCCAACGCCCTGCTAGGGAGAAGCGTAGCCTGGAAAGCAGTGCTTAGGCGAGACCAGTGTCCTCTAATCACAGGAGCTGGCCGTACTTTTCCCCTTCGGCAGGAGAGCGGAGCCTCTAGTCTAGAGGGTAATAGTTGACTCTTCTGTGGCAGGATCTCTAACCACTTTACAAGCTTACTCAGCCTTCTGCTGGGAAAGAGGGGAGGGTCGTTCTGCTCATTAT